CCCTTCACACTGAATTTGGGAGGGAGAGAACTCTCCAGCTTCCCCCTTACAAGAACGAGACCAGGTATAGAGATTGCTGATCCCACAAGGAGGAGGCGAGGCAGACATGCTAACAGGGTACAGCTTTGCATGAAGTGGAATAAACCAAAAGGAAGCAATTAAAAAAAAAAAGAGAGAAAGCAAGAAAAGCAAAATAGTCTTCAGATGAAACAACAATGATACAACCCAACTAAAACATATTTTAGTTATCTTTCCTGTAGTGTCCAAGATAAAGCAAAACAAAAGACAGACCCTTAAATATTTTTTAAGAGAATAAAAGACCACCACTCAAGTCACTCTAAGGGGTAGGAATGACTGGGAAAAGGCAATATTTTTTTTTTTTTTTTGCTAGCATCAGGACAGTCCACCACACGTGACAAACTGCTGCAGAGTCAGAGTAGAGACGCAAGCTGAGATAGCCAGAACCCAACACATAACACCGACACACAGAACCGTAGAAAAACCACTTTTCTACTAGCATTTGTGTCACAGAAATGGAATGACAGCCTCTTTATGACAATATATGGCACCAAGGATGAAGAAGATGCGATGACTTCCATCCCTGGGCATACTCAGGCGACATTCGTGTTAACTATCAGCAACAGAGAAAAAAAAAAAAAAGAAAAAACAACCAAAAAACCCCATGTTATTTTTCTTCCCCTCCGAGAAGCCACTTTTGCATGGTTGAAAAATCTGGTGTAAAACAGAAGAAATAAGCTACTGTAGCATTTTAATAGCTAGCAAGCAAATTTAAGTCCATAAAAGGTATGCTGAGAAGCAGAGGATGTAGGCAGACTATCTGACAATTATCAAAGAAAAAAATTGCTTTTGTTCGGGAGCACAAGATGTGCTGTGTTTTATCTATGTCATCACTTCTTGAAAATGAAGTAACCCAGCCTTCAAAATACCTGTCATAACTTTTACTCTACACTGAGTAAAGAGTGTTCTACTAAAAACTGCTATCAGTATCTTCACAATAAAGAAACACTGCCTCCTAGCTCAAATCCACGTTAAATCAATCACGTATTTTTCCATTTGCAGGCAGCTTTAAGTCAGTGCAGCAGATTGTCTCCCATAGTGATTTCAAAACTGAAACAGTGGAAAAATATCCCTGAGAGGAGGAGGGTGGAACCTAATTTAGAAATGTCATGTTATAGCAATGTTTACAATCTGTTTTTCACCATTTCAGCTCACTTATCTGTGGTTAAAAGAATCCATGAAACCCATGGAGAGAGATTTTTCCACCACAGGCTTCATGAAAAGCAGATTCTAGACATGTCCTAGTTCCCATTTAAAAGAAGAGTTGGCATCCCTGATTAAATGCGGTCTATCTTCAAAGCAAACAGATTCATTTTGGAGGGATTTACCAAGCGAGTTCACCCATCCCACAGAAGGACAAAGAAAGAACTTAGTACTATTAAAATGTAGCATACACAGGAGGGGAAAAAATTGGTTAAAAACAAAAAAACCAACCATTGTTCCCCTTAGTACTAGGAAAATGTGCCTATTTCAAAAGGAAGTGTTACTTATCAGCCCTAAAAAGCAGGGAACAGCTCTCAAACTGCATCTCCGAGGAAACCTTAACTTTCCAGCATGAACACATTTGAATGATACACAAAAAATAGTTGTATATTTTAATAAAATCATTATGAAACACCGTGAGTTTTTACAAGCTATCCTAAAGAAGTGCATGAATGCCAGGAGGTTACAGCATCTGAACACTAGGGAAGAACAAACCAGAGGAAGGCTCTGATTTTTGATGAGTAGGAAGCAACCACATTTTGCTTTTCAAATGATAATATATATCTCAAGAGCAAAAGTCAAGGTTAACAGCTTGTTTGTGAGTATATTTTAGAGCAAAGATGAGAGAAAGGTATTGTGGGAAAGGCTGAGATTTTTGTTTGCTTCTTAAATAGAACACACACATTGAGCACTCTGGATACTTCATTGAAATGGGAAGAAAAGGTAGTATGAAGTGAGGTGAAAAGTCTTCACATAAGGGAAAAAAAGCAGAGAATTCTGAGTGCACAAAGTAACTGCATGTAAACTGCTCCTGTAGAAATTTAGTTAGCATCTAAAGACACTCCTGTTCCAAACCTTCTTATAGACTTTTAAAGGCCAGTATATATTAAATTTTACAAATCACAACTGAAAATTGCATTTAAAAAGAATGCTATTTTAAAGCAAAACCACTTAAATATACTCTTCTGCAAAGGATTCTTATCATACAAATTAATCTAAGAGACAAGTCTCCTCCTTCTTAGGCAAGCTTTTTGAATAAACTTGCTCTCTAAATAAAGTGCTCCTAAAAATCATCAGAGATTTTTATTACATCTGTAATTTTCACTTCACTGCACTGTTTCAATTATAAGCCTAAACAGATAGGCATCAACTTGGATCTTGGAAAAAAAATCAGGACACACCCACTCATAACAGCAATTCAGGATTAATCAGCATGACAAACTGATTTCTTCAAGCTGGAGGTTGGACTAGATAACTTCCTGAGGTCCATTCCAACCTGCTTTTTCCTATGATCCTACTAAAATTAGAAGTAGAATTCTGACACATCTAAAGAGACTTCAGGAATTAGTAAGAGGAGTTCAGTAGTCAGCGTTCCGTATTTCTCTTTGCAGCTCTGCCTCTAACAGCTCAACGCTCCAGACAGTTTATTCAGCCTCACACAAAATCAGGCTCAGCTGAACAAGTATACCACTGCTTTATCTCAGATACTATACACAGATTCATTAGGTGTTTGAAAGGTATTATAAATCTGCACTCATATTCCATGATCAGAACACATTCTTAGGTTTAAGGAAGCGTGATTTTTTCTCTGTGTTAAGGGTGTGGGGTTGGTTCAAAAACCATACAGAAGACTACGTTTTGTAGTGCCATCTATGTAAATGCACAGCTGCATTAAAAAAAACAGTGAACATCTTACCTTCAGTGCCGGTCCTTTTTCACTTGCTCTCTCACTAGCTCTCTTTCCTTCTAGCCCGAGCTGAACAAACAGTTCCAGCAAGTTCATCAGTAGTTCATCCACAAGGTGTTCTCCTTGAATGTTAGCAGCGATGTTAGCTAGGGCATTAATGACTGCTAAAGAACAGTGTCTGAGAAGAAAGAACACTTATAAACAAGCAATTCCACAAAGTTTATATTTTCAGTACTTTCTTCATGATGCTGATAGTAACTCTTATAAAAAGACTGCCAACATTTTTTCACTCAGTTTTTTCTGGGGAGTTGTTTTTTGTTTTAATGGCACATCACTTTACTGATAATTGAAATGCAATCAGTATTTAAGTGAAAAACTATTTGTAAACTTTCATTTAGGATGCTGTCATGGCCAAATGGAAATTACTTTCCTGTAACAGATATGGCTACAGACAAAAAGCAGCAAAGGGCTGTGTTTCTGGATTGGGAAAGCTCTTCAGACAAAGAATCAGAACTAGTATCGGCTGTTTTTAAAGCTCTGATTGCACTGGGTCAGACAGTATGTTAAAATACACTGACAGGAATAGTCTCCTCAGTTACTCACATTCTACATTAAAAGATATCCAGCCTACCCCAACTATCAACAACATCAGTGATAATCTTTAATTGTAACAGGGCCTAAAATGCATACTTACATACTAAGAATTAAATTGTTAATGGTTTGCATTTAATCTCTAACAAGTACTGGGACCACATTTAAAAAAACAAACCAAAACACACACATGCAGAAGACCAAATGGAACTTCATTAGCTTTTCTAGGCTAAGAGATTAATTACTCTAGTTACAGATAACGTAAGTCATCGATGTAAACTATCATTTACAAACATTAGCTCCTTATAGATATATAAAAAAAAAATCAATAGTACCTGTAGTGAAAAACATTTTCAGAAATATATTATGAAGTGCTACTATTTTTAAACTAATATATTACTCTTTAGCATCAAAGAAAAAAAAGAATGGTACTATTTATGATTTTTATAAAACATACTGGGAAAAAGTGAAAATCCCTGATGTAGACTAAAAGATATTCAATATAATATTCATACTTTTGAAGGACACAACAAAGTGTTACCTGTATCCATGATCCTTATAGTCTTTTGTGGCAGAGTAAACAACTGAGCTTGCTTTAACACTGATTTGTTGAAACAGATTCCACACCTCCTGGTAAATATATTGCTTTAAAAAAAACAAACCAAACAACAACAACATAATCACTAAGTAGAGCTTATTGAATATAACGTCTCTAAAGAGCAACCCCATAAAATGCATTAAGTATTACAAAGTTCTTCAGATAGGTATCTAGTCATAGCCTGAGCATTGGTTTCAGCTTCCATAAAGCACACAGTGGAGGTGCTTGCATTACTGGTTTTAATTGCTCAAATTTTACAAAATTTATTAAGTTCTTTAACTCCGCCTTCCTGATGGAAAACTTTTTTTCCAGGCTTCTGAGTTCTAGCAATTAATTGCTCGGTCAGAGGCACAAATTACATTTGAAAAAGGTAAGTCAGTTAATCCCTGTATGACTGAAGGAGGCAATCTATACTTCTAAATGTATGGACTTACAAGACTTTGAAAGTTAATTACTGATATGAAAAAGCATACTGTGCTATTCAAGACATAGGCAAAGTTTATAAACTTCTTAATAACTTTTAAAAATATTGAGTTTGGTATTTTTTTATAGTTTGTTTTTTAAAAAAGACTTTTATTATTTTCTGTGGAGACTAATCTTCACAGGGACAGTATTTTAGACATTATTAATTAGCTCTTGTTTTCTGATGTCACAGAGACATGATTGTACAAGCCCATACCTGTGGTGAAGAAAAGAAAAACCTTAAAAAACTTCTGCAAATACAGTTTCTAAAATACGTTTCCTTTTAACTAAGGGGAAGGGGTCATGAACTGGCACCTTCTTGGCCAGTTCTTTCCTTACATTTCCAGTGATGACCAAGCAGCCCAGCTGATCAATGATGAGTACATCGAGATGAGAAGGTGGCTGGCAAAACTTCTGCTGTAAGATCTGTAGGATGGGTTCCATCATTTTTGGGGTGTCCCTCAGTGCCACTGCAATATGCCCTAGAGCACGAATTGTGTGATCAGGAATCAAATGAGCTTCCCTGTTATAAAAACAAACAACCCAAAACCATACATGTAACTGTTCAACAGTTATCAAGATCTCCAAGCATGGTTACATTTCATATAAGAAACAGTTGATATACTACATTTAAACATCACTAACAGCTTTAATATCGCCATTCTATATACTCACCTACTCCCAACATTAACATTAGAGATACACTTGCCCAAGTTGGTTTTCAAAACAAAAAACCCCACAAAGATACTATCCAAGAAACCCACACTAATCCATGAACAAACTATTCTAGAAACAACAATGAAATGAGGTAAAAGTGATCTGCAAAACATTAAGACATGACAGTCAGACCAGCTACTACAGGACCTCCCCTTGGAAGTTTCTTGGTTGGAGAGTCTCTTAAAAGTGAAGCAAGTCAAATGCCACAAGTGGCAAACTGTGTCAAGCCATAAAATATAGCTGAAGCCTAAAGGATACAGCAGAGAGAGTACCAGTCAATCTAGGACTCAAAATTGGCTAATACGCACCAAAGATTTGCTGATTCAATCAGATGAAAATTAATCTATACCTCTCAGTATGAAAACAAGCCCTCAGGTCTGCAAAGATTTGCATGGGAAGATCATGACCCCACACACCAGCTCACTAATCTCAGAGACAATTCTAAAATAATGCTGCCTGTACTTATATCTTAGAATAAGCTTCAGGGTCACTGAGTGAAGGAAAAATTGGTTTGATGACTGACAACTTACTTATCACTCTCTTGAGAGATGTACAGACGGTTAGATAAACTCGCAAGAAAGGCCTCAACGATCACCGAATCTATGGTCAAGCCAGCTTTCAAGCACCTGGAAAAACAACGAACAGAAAACTGCTACAACAGCCAGAGGGAAAAAAAGCATGAATCAAACATTTCACTTCTACTACTGTAAATGCACACCAGGTATAAGGAAAAAAATTTATACTGAGATATAAGAACTGATTGCCTAGGAATGCTGCAAATATATTTTAAAAAATGAGCAGACTTTCTACTGCTGCTTTCTCCAGCAACAATGAAGATGGGGATATGCAATAAGGCAAGTTCAGAATCCACTGCTTTAGAAACTTTAATCCCTTGTCTCTAGTCACTAACTATTTGTCTTCCCTCCAGCTCTCTGTAGCTGTTTAGAAGGGAAGAATAATCATTACACTGCCCACATTTGAGTGCATAACAATCCTTCTGTTACAGGATGCTCAGGCAACATGATAATCTAAGCACAAAACAAAAACCGGGCTGAGCATCAAAATGGTGACTAGCATGCATTACATATGTGGGAAGCAAAACAATGAGACTGAATTATTATTTTACAATTAGGACAAAAACAGAACCAAGAGATGTCTGAAGGAAAATGAAGTCATGATTAAAAAAGGCAGAAGGCCTTTATAGCAGCACAGAGCAGCACCTTTTAGATGCTCACAATACTTTTCTGGAAGGGAAACAGAACATGCGTTCCAACATGATGCAAGTCTCTCTCTTACCTGCAGATGTTGTCTATGGCAATGTCACGCAGTTGCTCATACATGGATGGTTGACTTTTCTTGCCAGACATTACATTTAGAGTGGACTCTGAATGCTCGTTGGTTACACTAATCTTGATGTCATTACCACCTACTAAGAACACAAGAATATGGAAATCAACACCATTTGAAATACCTTTTTTTCCCCCAAGATGAGAGCACACAGGTAGAGCAGTATCTGGTAAGTGAATACAAAACAACGTACTTTACAACTCAGAGACCTGAGCTGAAGAACTTTGGAAATGCATGTGCTGTCACTAGCTATACAAGATATTGCTGCATTTAACTATTCCTAAATTTAGTCACTATCAGTTTACCTGTTCTACTTTAGCATTATGTGCTGCTTTTGTACCAGCAAGTGATTTAAACTGAACATTTCATTTTTTTTTAAAATTATAACTTGATATTAGAATTTAAAAACAACAACAAAAAAAACCCTGCCAAATGCTATCAAGATAGTACGAGGATAATCATGCATTGGCTCAGGTTGTAGAATCTCCGTCACTGGAAGTTTTTGAAAGCCCATGTAGACAAAGCCGTAAGCAAACTGCTCTGAATTGAATGCAGGAGGTTGACACATAATACAACCTTCAAAACTGCAGCATCACACTACAGTTATTGATGATCTCGCTCAGGACAAAAGTGCTTGACATAAGGCTATCTTGGTTTCGCAGAATGGGCACAGGAATATTGCTGCTATGATAAAACATAGTTCTACATGCAATGCTTGGCCTTAGATACACTTCCACCAGAATTTGATTTGCATTCCTACCCTCCAAAAAATCACAAATGCATCTTCAGTTCCCCCTACAGCTATATCAGCAAAAAATACTCAAAAGCATCAACAAGCCATACAAGTTGGAAAACAATCACTAGCATATCCTTTGGAACATGGCCTTTTCTTCTTTACCTGTGTGATACTGGCTATGATACTTGTAAAGTTTCACAAGCACTGGGGAAGGTATCACAAGAAAGTCCCTCAAGGATGGATTGACAGAATGAACCACAACAGGGAACCTCTCACACAAACGACCTAGACCCTAAAAAAGGAAAAAAAAAAAAAAAAAAAGGAACACAGCTTTAGAATATCACAGCACAATTTTTATTTCAACTGTAAGCCTGCAACTTCAACTCAATACAAAAACCCCAAACCAAAACAAACCATATGTAGTTCTGAGGGATTCAATTTTTAGCAGAAGATTTAGGTATTTCAAGTCTCTAAATCTTTTAGATTATCCTAGAATATGTCATACCAGTTAAGCCTTGCTGGATGATTTCACAGGAGTTACATGAGATGAAACACACTCTAAAGTTACTGGACAAGTTTCAACATGTAGAGAATCCTGATAATTTACCATTCCACAACATATTTACCATTGTGTTGTGGAAAATATCGCATTTGTAAGACTATGAATAGGTGGCCAATAAGAAGACATAAAAACTAGAATAACCAAGGCTTAGTTGTAAAACTCAGTGACCTGCCAGTCCCAGTATTTTAACTTGTTATGTAATGGACTAAGCAGCTAAATATTTCAGAAATTAAATACCGGTTAAAAAAACCCCTCATAAATATTATTCTTCAAGAAGTTGTTGAGCTAAGAAAATATTGAAAGCACTACTCCAGTTCTAGTTTCTACACCAGACCTCTAAAATCCAAATGTAGAACATATCAATGGCAAGTAATACAAATAGCAGATAAAAAGTGTTATTCTAGCAACCTGTAAACCCCCCCAAACTCTCACTCACTGATACAGTAATGTAAAATACTATAAAGACAGACCTGCAAACAGCAGATTAGCAGTGGCAAGTGAGCAATGATGACTTTGCTTGAGGTTTTTGACTGCAGCTTCTCTGACAACTTGATGCACAGGTTTTCTGCACCTTAAATGAAAAATCCAGCAGAAAAATTTATGTTTGTCAGATTTGTTATTAGGCCACACAAAACCCAATGCTTACAGAAATTTCTAAAACAACACAGAAAATGTATCAGCTTCACTCTCCTCATACTACAATTCCTCAAAGAGATGTAGTAGTACTTCTGCGAAAACAGTTTTGCAAACTTGGTACCTGCACCAAACAGCTCTGTCAAACACTATGATTGAAAGAATGACAGTACTTAAAGTTGATCTTGAGGGTACTTCACATTTGACAGAAATTAAGTATTGTGTGGTCCAAAGGAAAAAATCCTTCACATATTCAGAGGATGTGTAAGAATTATACAAGAAGAAAGAAAACTGAGAAAAAGTGAGAGCTTCCCAGTGCTGTTAGCAATGAAGAAAAAACATTTTCTTTAAAAGAATGACTGAGAAACATTTAAGACACTAAGAGCAATAATTAAAAACAAAGTAGAAAATAAGCAGCTGGATGTAGTGCAGCAATTATAAAATTTCTTGTAGATAAGCCAATAAATGTTTCTGTTTCCATTTCTATGAAGGGATGTCTAACTACCTAGCCAACTAATTTGACAAATTTTTGATGGAAGTTTTACTCTTATATTCTAATAGCAAAAAATATTTAACTGAAATTTATTTTATATTTCTCTGAGCATCATCTACTCTCAGAGACCTTGTAAGTATTTTTTTTACAACTTTGGGGGGAAGGGGGGAAGATAGACATTGCAGAGATCAAAGAGCATTTTTACCTTGCTCATCTTTCACAGCCCACACCATGAGATCCACACAGGCAGCGTTAGCCTGACAACGCAGTTTTAAAGGACTCAGTTCATTGTGCAGTCGATCCACATCATGGAGGATTTTCTGAAGTTCTGATTGACTGCTGTTGAATTGCTCTAGCACAAAATCATGGATTTCCTTCACAAATGAGTTGGGAAGGTCTAAAGAAATAAAAGAAAATGGCATCATATTAGGATGGGAGTCAGTGTATCAGAATAACAGCATATATAACATCCATTTCTATGTTATAAATTAAATGATTTCATAAAGTTTATCCCCTACCTAAAAAATAAATTTCAAAGCAAAGCCCACCAGTAAGCAAACAATTGAAATGCCATCTCTTAATCCTTTTAGTGGTGCTCAAAATATTTTTTTTCTATTTCCATAACACCTTTTTTATATAGAAACATTTCAAATTACATACAGCTACGTGGAGTTCCCAGGAAATGGAAACTCCCATGTTCAAGCACTCAATACAATGCAGACAACGCTTTGGATCCTAACCGTAATGAAGGATAAGTTTAAAAAGATACAAATACTGTACCTTTCATATAGTATAATGTGTCTCTCAGCATTTTAAACTGAGCAAGATAAAGAGGGTCACTGAATGTTTTGTAATAGAGATCTGTATTAGCACCCGTCTGAAAGAGAAAAGAAGCAACCTGCTAGATTCAAAATCAACTTAAGAGAATAATTATTTCCTTCTACGTTACTGGAAAACATTCCCCCTTCACCTCCCCATTTTTACACAGTCCAAGACTAGATTGAAACCACTGAAAGAACAGTTCAAACAGGAAATTAGTATCAAGAAGGCATACCTTACATAGGTAAAAGATTAATTTTCAAAGTATTAATTATTAAGACAAAAAAAAAAAGTATTCAAGTCATTAGAAAAGGAATTTTAAAACACACCTCTGCAACTTCAGCTACAACTGCATCTAAGGTCTTTAGCAGAGAATCCCCAACGATCTGTTTCACCTACGGAGAAAAAAAAAAAAAAAAAAAGAAAAAAGTGTCAGATGAAATTAAGGCTACAAGAATTTCTGGCTGCAACGAGAATAAATACATTTGAGCCTGTGTGTACTGTTCCAAAATAGCTGGTGCAGGAAGCAGACAGGGACAGTAGTTTCTGTCACTTGCTTGAATTCCCAGCAACTAAACCTTTCTAGAAAAGGGTCTCATTCTCACAGCAAAAACCAATCTTCTATTTCAGCAACTAGCAGTACATAAGCTACCTCAGAACAAGTGCTCTGCAAGACTCAAACAGGAAGAAGTTTATGTAAACTTATTCAATTTTCCAAATTCTTCATGGTTCATATGAGAGCTTTTTAGGAATACTATTGAAGCATGACATAAAAATAACATTACACAAAGCTTGAGAGACAAACATCGTCTTGTTTATTTGCAATTCTAAGAGCTTAAACTTAAACTGCATCTATTTCTAGCATGAATACCTAGAATGCAATCTCACTGCAGCCTTCCTAAGAACCCATCTCACGTACCATGTTCAATAGCTGACGGAGCATTTCCAGTGGGATATTAAACTCTTTATTGTTAATGCCATTGAAGAGAGGAGAAACTGAAAAGCTGGAGCTGATGGTAGAGAAATAATAATCAGGATCCAGTGCGCTCCCATCAGGAAGATATGAACCTGATCATAAAAAATAATAGAAATAATAGAAAGTTTAGGGAGAGAGAGAATATACAAACCTTGTTCAGTGGTAATGTTTAGTAACTACTAGAGAGTTATTTCCAACACAGGCAAGCTATCAGAGGCACATTTCAGCAAATCTACTGGTAAATCAAGACAGAAAACTATGATGAAAAAGTATTTGTTCATTAGAAGTTTACAATCACAGTGGAAGAATCCATTTCACCGACTTCTGTCCATGTCAGAGACACCATTGACAAGAAGTCTTCCCGTACTACTGATGGATACATTTACCTGAAAACATTTGTAAATGCCATTTTGTTCAAAAGCATAGAGGTGTAAAGAACAGGTTAAGACAAAACTATCTTGCAAGGTTTCCCCCTATATTAGACAAAATGAACCTGTGTCACAGGTTTCATCTTAGAAGAGGCACTGATTCACTACTGCAGTTTGAAGGCAAAGAGAAATCAAATTATTTCTCAGATTCAAGTACTCTATTAAGTAAACAACTTGCTAAGCATACTGCCTTTGGCACTGTTTCCACTTTAGAAATTACATCTCTGCCTTTCTTAAAGTACTCAGCTGCCTGTGCTAAAGTAATGTTCTTGTGATTAATGGGCTTCCAAGCAACACTTTTTATTGACAACAACAGTTTTCAGTCCTTTTTTCTAAACCATTATCCTTGGCCAGAATAAAAGCAAGGTCACTGCTTATAGTCCTCAGAAAATAAGACTATCACAAACTATATTATCAGGAATAATACAAGGGCTGCCTGTATCTGAAATACCTAGTAGAAGTTAGTACTGAAAATAAAATCCTGATCAGAATAATCATAACTCTACTAGAGACACAATTAAAATGATTCCAAAATTTTCACAAAGTTGGCCACTATCCACCTATAGTTTTAATTAAGATTATTTTTGTTCTACTACTGTAGCCTCTCTCTAACCTGCAGCCTTTTTTTTTTTTTTTTTTTTTTAAATTCAAAACATGAAGCCCATAAAATTGAAGTAGTATAGGTTGGTTCAACAGAGTAGACAGAAGACAAACAGGTCTCCTCCTCCTTGGCAATTTCAGAATGATATTTGAATTACCCTGCAATCCCATGACACGATGAAGGAAGACAGATGCCTCGACAAATAGTAACATGAAGGAAAAAGAGAAGTAATATGGAAGAAATTGGAAGAAATTAATTTAAGCCAGGGCTCAAGAGAGGAGAATGACCCAGAAACAGAATGCCCAAACTGTTAAAAGCCTCAAAGGGCCAGACAAAACCAGAGACACCAAAACACCACAGATACAGAACTAGTTCTCCATTTGATTCATGAAACAGTTTCTTTTTAAGCTCTGCTTTGACACAGAACTCACAGCTAGAGTTCTACTAAAACTCAGTGATTGAGTTTGTATATTAATTCATGAAAATTTTCACTTTTCTGCCTTTTATGATATAGTAATTAACATGCATTAGCGAGCACTCAACTTCAGTGCCTCCTTCATTATTTCTCCAGCAAATTACTAGGTCTTACACAATGACCCGTACCACATTTACTTCAAATGCAACAGTTGATTTAGAATTACACAATGTGCCACAAAGGTCTCAAAATTCCAGACCCTAGTCCAACAATTTAGTCATCTGGTGAAGCACAATATTAACACTTGTTTCCCAAAGTTACTCAGCTTAATCTCCTGAAATATTTTTGGCCCAGTTGAATTAAGCTCTTCAGTACTAGGCACAGCATAGCAGTAAGGAAGTCATGTCTCTCAGAAGCCTGCCAGAAACAGCTGAGCCTGGAAACCACTGGTGTTAATAATAACTTCCTACTGTCTTTATACCCCAACATTTTTCAGAATCCTAGCAGATATGTGCCAGAGAATTACTGTAAGAATTCTAGAGGGCAGAGAAAGGCGTCAAAAGCATTTTGGTTTTCTATTTTCAATAAATAGCAACAAAACCCCCAAAGCACACACTATTGTTTTGCAAAATAATTTACCTTCAAAGTAATGAATTGCAGATCCTCCAGGAGAGCTCGGAGGGGGAATTCCACGTTCAGGACTAACCTGAAATATCACACAAAAGCCATAATTTAAAAACTATTTATAGAACATTAAAAAAATCTTCCAGAGATGTTCATACACTTTACAATGAAACACAGCTTCAAGCAAAACTAACAGGAACTACATATTGCCAGGCATAGCAGTTCAATTCCAACCAGAAATGGGAAGTTAAAAAAAGCCAATTCAGTGCTTTTGTCTAAAGTAAAGAGATCAGAATGATGACCCCTGAAGTGGATGAAATTATGCTAATAATCTGTGTTTTCAAAACCAGCATCTGAATCCATTCTTCCCCTAAGACAACAGATATGATATCCACAGCTCCCGGTGAAACCAGTGAGAGCTTGTATATCCTCAGCACTTGTGAAAACTTTAGCCATTAATGCCAGCTTCCCAAATTCACAGACACACATTACAATGCTTTTGCAGAGCATAACACAATGAATAGGATTTGTCAATTTTTCCATGCGAAGACTTATTAGTACAGTTGTTAGTTTAACTATCACTGACTATTCTGTAGCTCAGAAACTACAAAATTACTTTGAAACTCAGTTGCAGAACCAAAATAAAGATCACTGTATCTGGTCAAATAATGTGTTAAGAAACTATGTGCATATCCAGGCTTAATGCGGTCTTAACTCCACCAAAACCACGAAATCATCTAGGCACTGGCTGCAACACAGAGCAAGTCATACCAACCTGTGAGATGCTAGATACGCTGCTAGCCTTCCTCTTTAGTGTTCCTTCTTGGCAGACAGTGAGTAGAGAACTGGGAAGAATGGATCTGAAATCATTAAAGGATCGTCGGCGAATTCCTTCAAGCTCTTCTGGAACTCTCAGGGAATGCGGGGGAATTTTTGGAAAAAGCTTTGAAAGGAGAGCCTCCTCTGAATTGCTGTAGCGACCAAAGGCTCGAGAAATTCCTATCAGGCAGGGTACTGCATACTTGCATAAATATTCTGGAAAACAAAACCACATATAACAGTATATTTAACAGTAACTTAGAACTTCCTCTTCATGGTTTTGCTACCACTTCACTAAACTGTTCCAGCCTAATGTGCTTTACAAAGACTTATTTGTGCAAGTAGAGGAAAAACTATGAAGGTACCACAAATTAATACACTTCTCTTGCTTCCATATTTACCAGTCAGCAACAAAGAGAATAAATATGTGCTAAGAGAAATCAAAAGAAAAAGGTGCTCACTCTTCAGGAGTAATCCCGATAATTAGAAAACACAAGAGAAGTTCAGAAGACAGGAGTTAGAAGTATAGCAACAATATAAAGAATTATTTTAATAGTACCTTTATCGTGCATTTGTGGCGTCTGGCACATTCCCAACAGGAACTGCATTACTTGTAGAATTGCATCCAAAATCTAAAGTAATCAAGACAGAGGTAAAAAAAAAACAACTTTTGGTAAAGATACATTATTATTTTATACTAGATCACTATAACACAAATGAAATCTGCAAATATTACCTTAAGCACTTCTGTAAACAAGGCTTTTTTTAAATATGTGACTAAAAAAGTATATTGCCCTCACTCAGCTCACAGAGCTTCTTTTGTAAAGTCTGCAGTTAGCTGGCATGTACTAGCAGAATAGAACTGCAGCAGTCCTAATCTCCGTATCAAAACTCGAATTCTAAAACTCTGGGCTCAGTGACTGACATCCCTAGACATTCAAAAGTAACAGCAGACTTAGGAATATCTTCTACATACTTGACTATTAACACGCACAAAATAATGCAACAGTACACACATTAAAGCAACTGATCTCTTTGCAAGAAAGGAAGCAGCTGTGGTGTACTCTTCTCTAGACATTTATCAGTACTGCCGCATTGGAGAACTGGGTACTACATCAGCACAAACTTAAAATAAACTCTACCTGCTCTCTGAGAGATGCATCCCTGTAAGCAACATCTGATAACAATGTTACCAAGCAGAAACTGAAGTTTTCTGCTACTGGAAGCAAACCTGCAAAGAAACGGACAGAAAATAAGCCACTTAAGCATTGGTAGAGAGAAACAACATAGAAAGAGCAAATAATAAAAAAAGCAAGAAGGCATCAGTGATTCCCACATCATACAGTTCTGAGATAGACTGTAGAAAAATACAGTATTACATACAAAATTTGGAAGAACACTCTAACCATCATAATTTCAGCATGAAATGTTAAAAGAATAATTTTAATAATTAAAAACTTTCCTAGGCTTTCAAGTAATTGTAAAAATTATATAATATTATATACAAGTATTCTTACATTAAGATATATTAAGGGAGTAAGTAATGAAGTGGTTTAAATATCAATTAAGCATCAAAGCTAAAAGTAGTTGTACAAATCTCGGGTTCCACTCTCCTGCTCTAAATACTACACAATCTTCTCCAATTTAGTAACAAAATATATTGAGCATAGAATCATTTGGAAAGTGCAATTTATGACAAAGCAGTCAAGGAAGAAAGCTGGGAGCTATTCAACTTCCTCTTTGCTTCTAAAGAAAATCAATATTAAAGGCTGTTGAGTCAGGAGCTAAGAACCTAGCAGGATTTATCACCTCCCCTTGTACCACGTCCTGAATAACCTTTGTTATTTCTATCTCCTGGCTGACGTTCCATGAGAACGATTGGAAAAACCCAAACATCACCTCTGCCTTTCCGTGCATTGCTTTCTTCTATCCATTGGACTTTGGGAAGACCCTTCAGAAGTCGGAGGAGGTAAGGAACCACATTATCTTTGTGCTAAAGAGGAAAATACTCTATTTAAAATGGAGAAGAAAAGTTCGACCATTATCATCTCAAGATATTTTGGAGATATGGAAAGACTACATTAACCACAAACAGAACTTGCTTCTAATGGTTAGTCCACAGGCTTCTTGAATATTGCAAAATTGATTTCAACACAGGCAAATGAAAGTAAAACAATTCAGTGCTATAAATCCAATCCTTTCATTCTAGGCAACAGTTCATTCTCCATAAAAGTTGGAGAAAAAAGTTCCAGAACAGTAATTAACCCCAAACAATTTATTAGTTTACAGCATGGTCACAAAATAATTTTAAGGCAGCTAGAAATTCAGAGTGCCAGTCCCAATTCAGTGCATGTGATCCATCCCACAGCCTTATGTGAGTCACTTAGCACATCTGTGTAACCTCTCAGCTTCCTAATCTGCAAATCAAAGGACAGTATTTTCCTTCCTTACAGAGTTAGATAAATTAACTGTCGGCTTTGAAAACATCATAAAAATGCTAACATGAAAACAGCTGCCTTATTTAAACTTCATACTGAAAAAAAAACCACAAAAAGGAAAACATCAATAATACGTGTGCAAGCTGTATGATAGTAAATAGATACTAAATAGGAGGAGATTCAGGCCTGATGCAAACCCTAGCAACGTTAAACAACTTAAAGCGAGGTCTAATCACTTTGGACCTAGGACTCAGTATATCCTTCCTTTCCTCTGCACAAAACAACACCACGCCCAGAGTTCAAAGGGAAGAGAACCAGCTTGTCATAAACAGGCTGACAGATACAGAAGGGATGTTTGTATACAATGCAGCCTATGTGCCCTGTTTGTCTCTTCATCCTGGCTAGTCCCAGGCAGGAAAAGGCCTATTGCAAACCTGATGTTCAGAAATACAGTGGAACATACTCGCAATTTAGAAGCACATGGGGAACAGACAATGACACGTATGGTTTGAGCAAATCATCCCCCACAGCCATTCCTTTCTCTCCTTGAGCTACGATGACCAAAAAACACAACAGCAGTTTGGCTGTGGCAGCGCCATAACTACTGTCTATCACATTTGTCAGTACTGTCCTTGTTTCCTTATGCTCTCCTGCCTGCATCCATCTGTTATCTCTGATCTTTTGATTTATTTTTAGGAAGAGTAAATACCAACTTTTCATTCATTGAACAACTAAACTTGAATTAATCCAAAATCTTTCAAGTTAAATAGAGTTAGCCTAAGTGGGAAAAATACCTGAAGGTCAGATTCAATTAGAAAGATTCCTAAAGCAATAACAGCATCTCTGCGACGTTCATCTAACTGGAAAATCCCATGGAAATCCACTGGACACATACAGAGCAGTTTTTGTACCTGAAAAACAGTGGAGAGAAAGAACAGTGGAACAAGATTGCAAGTGTCAAAACAATTCAAGGGAACAACAGTACACGTGCTAAACTGCCTTTCAAAAACCCACCAGCAGACCTCAGGAAAGCAACGCAAATAGCTCCCAGCTTCTCCTTCACAGAGCGGAGCTAGCTGCCGTGTCCATGCCCCACAGCGCGCCAAGCAACAGGCCTGGGTAGCACTAACACCGCTGCAAATGTTTCACAGCAGAGAAACGAGCTGGCAAGCTGTGGGTTTCAAGACTCATTCAAGCCGCCTGTGTTTGAAGTGGATAGTAGTCTTTCCATCTTCTGGAGACAGATGGCCACACTACCCTCTTTAGTCACCAATCTTAATGAGAGTATCTAAGGGCTAGGAAAGAGGGAAGGAAAGATTGATGAATGACAGGAACTATAAAAAGACAGAAAAAATCTCAGATGTCAAACATTTTTACCACAACACAGGTCAATTTAAAAGTTTTCTTCAACACTTGATCAAGCTGTTTGTTTGTCTTCACATCTCAAGAGAATTCCTGAAACTTTTCAGAGCATCATCACGTTTACAGAACCCATTCCTGCATCCCTGGTACAACAAAACCTTCCTTCCACTAATTCATTGGGAATTTTGGATGTGCAAGAAATATGCAGCAGGTACATATGTTTACTCAATTGCTGTAAACAAAACCCAGGCGGATGGAGCTTTGGTTACAACTGCACCAATGCCTTCTTCATGTACAACACTGAGCTATAAACTGTTACCTAGCTGAGTACTTGCTCAAATCCTTTTAACAAAACAGATTAGGTTTCCACAACTATTTTCTCACTACTTACCTATTACTTCTCTCCATACCCAGCAAACACACAACTAAAGAATATATCAAATCTCCCAAATACTTTGTTTTCCTATGGAACTGTTAAGAAATGGAAAATGCAACAAGCATATCGTCTTTTTATAAATCTCCTTGATATTAATAAACATTACCTAAAAAGGACAGTCATCATAAATACTTATGTTTGAATGTCAAGTTACTTCCTATTTAGATAAATCTTTAAACACCCTGCCTTGAAATTTCTAAAGCAAGAAACTATTTCCCTAGAGGATTAGAAGAATTTATTGGATGCTCAGCGGAATTTAAGATTCTGGTCCTGAAACTGCCAGACCTCCCAATTACAAGACCTGTAACACAACACAAATAATCCTCTTGCTCAACATAAAACACAGCAGAAGAAATAGGAACTTTGGAAAATAACTTCTGATGCATGTGTCCCATGTCAGGTTAATATTTGCAATAACATGAGCAAATAACTGTAGCTAGATATGAACTGTTAATATCATTTAACTCCTACTGTAGCCTCTCAAACAAAAATAAATAAATACTACTAAAAAAATAGTGAATATTAGCGAACCAACAACAAGGCTTAAAAAAAAATAGTTATTCACAGTTGGCTGTCAGACCAATGGTAGATTTCCAGGACAAGAACTAAGAAAAGAAGCCTGCAACAGCTGGCCAAGAACAAGCGCTCTAGTTTTCATCAGCACAGAGCTGTACTTTTCGACAATTAAGTCATCTTTCACTACTGCATGAATTAGAAGTTCAATTACTTCGTGCTCAGAGAAGCCAACTCCCGGCACACCGTGCCGTCCAGCTCTTCTCCCGCAGCATCACAGCACTTGACCACGCCGGCCGCAGAGACCCACGAGAGGAACTGTCCGGATGAAGATCCCCCTGTCCAGCTTTACGCTTGGTAGAGGTTTATCTCAACCAGCAGATTTCACCTTGAGCCGATTGCATTGCTTGGATTTAACCAGATACGTCGAGTAAAGTAACCAGCCCTAATTAGGCCAAGATTAATCGCACCTACAAGACCACGTCCTACGAACTTCAGGGACGCGCAGCCGCC